CCAGTGGGACCATAGTGTGAGTCATCATAAACATGGGGCCGCTAAAAGGGATGTCTTAATCAACAGCGAACGCCCCGCTAGAGATAATTGCTTTGCACCCCATAAGTTCACCTTTTCCTGGGTGCCTTTGATCAACCCTCCAAAGTCAGCTTTATTAAGCCTATGTAACACCATCGGCAGGCCCAGGTAATCAAAGGAATGCACCCTCCGAAATCCCAGGCTTCTAGCCATTAGCCGTTGTCTCCACCGAGGGCATTTCCTGTTAAACAACACCGTCGATTTACCACAATTAATCCGCTGCCCGGTCCAGTTACAGTACTCCGCCAGAAGCTTCAGAATTAGCTTCGCATTATACCGCGAAGCCTCAGCAAAAATCAATATGTCATCGGCGTACAGTAAGTGTGAGATCCTCTCCGATTGTCTAGCAACTTGGATTCCAAGCTCCACCCCCTCTGCCTAAAGGCCTTCGTAAGAAGCTCAGAATAGAGAATAAATAAATAAGGCGACAGTGGGCAGCCTTGGCGGAAGCCACTTTCCGCCTTGATCCACTCCGTCCTCCGCCCATTGATCAAAATCGTGAATTTAGGCCAAGCGATGCACTGTGTGATCCACTGGGTGAACTTATCGCTAAAGCCCATACACCTCATTACCTTCTCCAGAGTTTCCCAAGCCACACAATCGTAGGCTTGTTCCATGTCAACCTTCAAAGCCATAAGACCGGATTTTTGTGTAAAGACTTTGAATTTACCCATCACCTCCTGGGCAATCAGGCCGTGGCTAATAATACTTCTGCCCGGAACAAATGCCCCCTGCTCTTCCCCGATAATAGCACTGAGCACAGGCTTCAACCGGTTGATCAACACTTTAGCCACCACTTTATAGAAGCTTTGACACAAGCTGATCGGTCGGAACTTGGCCGGCTGATTGGCGTTGACCGTTTTAGGAATGAGCACCACCAAAGTTTCCTTCCAACTCTCACACATAGTATTAGTACAAAAAAAATGGATGATGGCACGAGTGACATCACCCTTGATAATTTCCCAGTAAAATTTTAAGAAGGAAGCAGTAATACCATCAGACCCCAGGGAGCGGTTGTTACCAAGACTGAATACCGCCTTCTGCACCTCCATCTCCGTGACGTCGGCCTCCAGCACATCACAGAATTGAGAGGGGATTTTGTCACCCTCCCGGAATTCTAGCCAATCGTTTAAGCTCAACTGCCTCTCCTTCCACTTCATCAGAAAGAAGCTCCAGAATTCATCCCGAATAAGCTTCGGGTCATTGATAATCTCCCCATTTCAGTCATTGATTTCCCTTATTATGTTACTGCGTCGCCGAGCAAAAGCGTTAGAGTGGAAGAAGTGGGAATTGGCATCCCCTGCCTCAATCCATCTCGTCTTGGCCCGCTGCCTCCACCACGTAGCAAGCCTTGCCAACGTGGCAATCAGCTCTCCCGCAACGCGGCGAAGCTCAACATCCTGCTCCTCTATCAGACCGACCGACGAGCACTCAACCTCCTGTAACCACGCTATACGGTCTTCCAGCGTGGACTTAAGCTCCCCTAACTCCTTGAGGCGATTGCGGCTCCAATAGAACAGTGCCCTCAGCGTCCTCGAGCACTTCTGATTTAGGTTGTCATCCGGGTCACCAAAATCCGCCTTAGTCCAATTCTTCCACACCAATTTCCAAGTAGCCGGATAGGTCAGCCAAATGTCCTCAAAGCGCAGCCATTTGGATCCCCTATCGTGAGCCGTAGAATCCAGCGACACCAGAAGCGGACAGTGGTCTGAGGCAAGTCGGATAAGGTGCTTAACAGACGCCATCGGGGCCAGACGCAGCCCCTCTGAGTTCATCAAGACACGATCCAACCGCACCCAGATTTTACTACTTCCACTCTTGTTGTTAGACCACGTAAATTTGGGTCCCGAGAACCCCAAATCATGGAGGTCGTTATCAGTCATGAAATTCGCCATTTCTTGAGCCCCCGCCGAGTAAGTAAAGCACCGGCCACCCTTCTTCTCCTCTTGAGCCAAACAACAATTGAAGTCCCCTCCCACAAGGACCGGGTCTTCAGCGTTAATTAGCGAGCCAATATCGTTCCAGAGAGCCCGCCGGGAATGGTAATCCTTACTGGCATACACAACAGCAACCAGCCACCTTTGACCATTTGGGAGGGTAAGCCACCCAATTAGCACCTGATTGACATCAAACAAGCTTCGAAATGAACAACATCCCATTTCCAAAGCGCAAGTAATCCCCCCGAACGCCCACTGGCCGGAACATGGAGGAAATCCCAGTTTTTCCTAATAATCCCGTCCACATCAAATCTATTAACATCCTCAATCATAGTTTCAGTCAACCCAACAAAATAAACCTCATTATTACTAACGAGGCTTCGCAGGTAGTAGCCCGTTTGCTTCTTACGGGCTCCCCTGCAGTTCCAGAAGAGGGCCGAGATGCTGTTCATTTCGAAGCTTGTTTGACATCGAATCAGGTGCTAATTGGGTGGCTTACCCTCCCAAATGGTATAAGCAAGGGAGAGAGAGGGAGAGAGAGATAGAGAGAGAGAAAGAGAGTGCGAGAGAGAGAGCGAGAGAGAGAGAGAGAGAGCAAGAGAGAGAGAGCAAGAGAGGGAGAGAGAGAGAGAGAGAGCAAGGGAGAGCAAGAGAGAGGGAGAAAGAGAGAGAGATAGATAGAGAGAAAGAGAAAGAGAGAGAGAGCAAGAGAGAGGGCGAGAGAGAGAGAGAGGGAGAGAGAGAGAGAGCAAAAAAGAGAGGTAGAGAGAGAGGGAGAGAGAGAGGGAGATAGAGAGAGAGAAAGGGAGAGAGAGATAGAGAGAGGGAGAGAGTGAGAGAGCGAGCGAAAGAGGAAGAGAGAGGGAGAGGGAGAGAGCAAAAAAGAGAGGTAGAGAGAGAGAGAGGGAGAGAGAGGGAGATATAGAGAGAGAGAAAGGGAGAGAGAGATAGAGAGAGGGAGAGAGTGAGAGAGCGAGAGAGAGAGGAAGAGAGAGAGTGAGAGAGCGAGAGAGAGAGGAAGAGAGAGAGTGAGAGAGCGAGAGAGAGAGGAAGAGAGAGTGAGAGAGCGAGAGAGAGAGGAAGAGAGAGAGGGAGAGGGAGAGAGAGGAAGAGAGAGAGAGGGAGATAGAACAAGTGACAGCAAGCTAGAGAAAGAGAAAGCTAAAGAAAGAATAAGAGAGCAAGAGAGAGCAAAGGAGAGAGAAAGAGAGAGAGAGAGGTAGAGAGAGGAAGAGAGAGAGTGCGTGAGTGAGAGAGAGAGAGAGAGAGAGAAAGAAAGAGCAAGGGAGTGCAAGAGAGAGGGAGAGAGAGAGAGAAAGCAAGAAAGAGCAAGGGAGTGCAAGAGAGAGAGAGAGGGAGAGACAGAGAGAGAGACAGAGAAAGTAAGTGAGAACAAGCTAGAGAAAGAGCAAGCTAGAGAAAGAACAAGAGAGAGTAGGAGAGAGCAAGGGAGAGCAAGAGACAGAGAAAGAGAGAGAGAGAGAGAGAGAGGGAGAGAGAGAGAGAGAGAGCAAGAAAGCACAAGGGAGTGCAAGACAGAGAGAGAGTGATAGAGTGTGAGAGCAAGCTAGAGAAAGAGCAAACTAGAGAAAGAACAAGAGAGAGCAAGAGAGAGAGAGAGAGAGAGAGAGAGAGAGAGAAAGCTAGAGAAAGAACAAGAGAGAGCAAGAGAGAGCAAGGGAGAGAGTAAGAGAGAGAGAGAGAGAGAGCTACAGAAAGAGCAAGCTAGAGAAATAACAAGAGAGAGCAATAGAGAGCAAGAAAGAGAGCAAGAGAGAGAGATAAAGAGATAGAGATAGATAGATAAATAGGGAGGGAGAGAGAGAGATAGAAAGATAGATAGATAAAGAAACAGAGAGAGAGAGAGCGAGAGAGCGAGAGAGAGAGCAAGCTAAAGAAAGAGCAAGCTAGAGAAAGAATAAGAGAGAGCAACAGAGCAAGGGAGAGAGCAAGAGTGAGAGAGGGAGAGAGAGAGATAGAAAGCAAGAAAGAGCAAGGGAGTACAAGAGAGAGAGAGGGGGAAAGAGAGAGAGAGAGAGAGAGAGAGAGAGAGAGAGCAAGTGTGTGTGTGAGAGAGAGAGAGATAGATAGATAGCTAGAGAGAGAGAGACACACACACACATAGAGAGAGAGCAAGAGATAGAGAGAGAGCAAGGCAGAGAGAGATGGAGAGAGGGAGAGGGAGAGGGAGAGGGAGAGAGAGAGAGAGTAAGAGAGAGAGCAAGTGAGAGCAAGCTACAGAAAGAACAAGAGAGAGCAAGAGAGAGGGAGAGAGAGAGAGAGAGAGAGAGGGGGAGAGAGAGAGAGAGAGAGAGAGCTGAACATTGCATTTGCATTCATAAACAGTTACCAATTACAACAAAGCAAGAAAAAGAAAAGGCCAACCCCAAAAAACCCCTAAGAGGGGGAAAAACTATTCCTATCATCCTCAAGGATGTCAAAAAAAGCTTGAGGAATACATGTGTTGAGAGTATCTCCTATATCCCAAACAAAATTGTCCTCAATTGCTCTTTGAGCACAAAAATGAGCCGCCTTGTTATACTGTCTATAGGTATGGACAAAAACCACCTTACGAAATAGCATCATCCAATCGAGCGTGTCCCCATCCTCCGGACGAAGCCGCCACCCCTCATGCTGCTTGACTTTTTGTAAGTAATCCATTACGCTGGCATTATCCCCCTCAATGACAACTCCCTCACCTCGTACATCCAATCTTGGGTAAGTTTTCCAATGTAGTTCACATCCATCATTTCGACCTGCGTGCTGTCCCAATGCGTTATACTCCAACCAGCCGCAACAACCCCCTGGCGCCGACAATCCCGGATAACAATTCCGATCCCAGCAGCATTAGACCGGAGCAAAGCTCCGTCCACATTAATTTTCAACCAGCCCGTAGGGGGGGGGACACCAAGAGTAGAGACTAGACAATCCAAAGGATTGGTTGGTGAACTGTTGCTCTAGGCTGTATGAAAAGAAACACTGCTGGATGGTGCCGATAATGTTAGCAGCCGTCGCCCGATGGGAGCTAGTCATTTTGCCAAACTTGGTTGCATTCCTATTTCCCCAACAATGAAAGACAGCCCCGCAATATAAAACCTTCCAGCGGTCCTTAGCCGTAGAAGCACCCCTTAAGGCAAGCTGGAGCTCATCAAACGAAGAGAATCTGGGAGTGGCGAAGCCCCAATTCGCCAGCCAGCCCAGAACCTCCCCTAGCCGCCTGCACCGCGTTGTAATATGGTCCCTATTCTCCTCTTGATTGCAACCCAAAGGGCAGGCCGCATCCAAAGAAAGGCCACGACGATCCAGCCACGAACCAGTAGGGATCAACTCCTTATACACCCTCCACCAAAAGATCCTCACACGGGGCCTCAATCCAAGTTTCAGGATGGGGCAGCTTGGATCCTCCTCCTCATGGAACAAATGTTGTAGAAGATAGCCGAGACGGAAGAGCCAAGGGGGCATTCTGTCAGTTCAAGAGTATCCACCAATAGATCCGTCCAAATTTTAACATCACAGATCCTATCCACCAAAGCCTCACCAAAAAACATCAACAGCAGTGGTTTGTTCCAGCTCTGTTCAACCGTAATGAATTCATCCACTATGCAATCCTGGGCAATATCAACATTGCAGAACGTGGGCCAACGAGATATGGCCGTGTCCAAAATCCACACGTGGTTAAGCACATCCACGTCCGAGCCCGTGCAAATCCTCCACCTGACACAGCCCGACAGGCTTGCCGCCCCACTGCAAATCACCTTCCATCCGACAGAGTGCCCGCGTTTGTGACATGCGCCCAAGGCCACCCCCCGTACTTGTGCCCCAGGCACCTGTTGAGAAGACTCTGCAGCTTGTTTAAGAAATCCCAGGTGATCCTCGCCCTTAGCGGGCCAGTCCAGTTACTGCTATCATGAAAACCCAAGCCGCCCAAACGCCTGGGCCTAGCGAGGCTCCTCCACGGCGCATAGTGCAAGCTCCTATGCTCGGCGTCACGGTCCCAAAGGAAACTGCGACAGATCCTCTCAATTTCAGTTAGAACCCCCCGAGGCACCAAAGTATGTGACATTGCGTAAACAGAAAGGGGAAGTAACACGGAATTAATCAGGGTGATCTTGCCGGCCAACGATAAGTGACGAATACCCCAAGAGAGGGTGTGGCCCCGGATCCTTTGCAACAGCGAGCCAAAGTCCACTTTCCTCAGTCTTCTCAGCGCGAGCTTGATCCCAAGGTACTCCATCTCCTCCACCATATGGCATCCCGCAAGCCTAGCAAGACGGGACCTGGTAGAGGAAGCATTGGTTTTGCCAAACAAAATAACAGATTTGTTCTTGTTAATCTTCTGACCCGTCCAGGCGCAGTACTCCTCCAGAATCGACAAAACCTTTCGTACATTGGGGATGGTGGCACCTGCAAAACACAAAACATCGTCAGCATAAAGGAGGTGGGAGACCAAAGGTCCCCCCGTCCGGATCTGCACTCCCAGCTCGGGATAGTTCTGGTGGAAGTGCAACGACAGAAGCTCCGAGCAGATAATGAACAAGTACGGGAATAGCAGGCACCCCTGCCGGAAGCCACAACCAGCCACAATACTCTCCGTCAGTTGGTCGTTGACCATAATCGAGAAGCGGGGTGCACGAACGCAGCTCAGCACCTAAGCACAGAAGCGTTGAGGGAAACCCATTCTTTCCAATATAAGTTCGAGCGTCCTCCAGCTCATTTTATCGTAGGCCTGTTCCATATCGGCCTTCATAGCAAACCACCCCGCACCAGCCTTAGAAACTTTAAACTTATTCATTATCTCCTGGCCCAACAGACAATGGTGCGAAATAGATCTTCCGGGAACAAAAGCAGCTTGCTCCTCCGAGATAAGTCTGGGCAGAATACCTTTCATGCGGTTAACCAAAATCTTAGCCACAATTTTGTAGATGGTTTGACAGAGGCTAATAGGTCTGAACATGGACGGATGCTCCAGATTAGAAGTTTTAAGAAGCAGGATAATCACCGTATCCTTCCAGCTCGGTTCCATAATCCCGGTCCGAAAAAATTCCAGACAAGCCAGAGAGACTTGTTCCCCCCACAATGTCCCAAAAATATTTGAAGAAAGAGACGTAATGCCGTCCCTGCCTGGAGCCCGATTCTGCCCCAAAGAACCAACCGCTTGCCGAATCTCCTCACCAGTAACCTCCCTATCCAGCTGTGCAGTAGCCTGAGCTAAAATAGCGGAATGGGAACCCAGGTTCGGCCACCCCAGTTCCTCAATGTTATTCCCCTTCCACTTTTGTTCAAAGAATTCCTGGACCATTTCCACAATTTTATCATGCTCGAAAGTCAATTGCCCATCCGGAAGCCTCAGTTGAACAATGCGATTGGAGCGCCTTCTCGCAGAGGCCATAGAATGAAAGAAACGAGAGTTGTCATCCCCAACCTCAATCCACCTTACCTTTGCACGTTGCCC